GTGCGCGACCTGCACTAACAGAGGGCGAGCCCTGGAAGCCCAGACAATGGTGGTCTGTCTGGGTGGGAAGGGAAGGGCCCCAGCCCCATGAAACTGCAAAAATCTACTGAGTTGTGAGAATTAAGGAATTATTCCTGGATTTGGGTAGCCTTGAGGTTCAAACCGCACTTACGAGTTTTCCTGGATACAGCAGGGAAAATTCCCAGTGTTGACCCATAAAATAACATCTACCCTGTCCTGAGGACCTGCTCTGAGCGCGCAAAACCCTTCAGAAGTACTCATTTGCCCTCACGGCACAGCTCCTCCCCGAGGCATTCTTTTCAGGTCTGTGTCATTCATCTCCTTTTATGAGGAGGAAATTGAAACTCAGAGACATTAGGTTGCTTGAGGTCACAGAGCAAACGGCAACTCAGGGGCAGGTACTGGGACCACCCCATCTCACTGTGGCTCTGGGATGGCCCAGTGGGTCTGCAGGACCATAAAACCTCCCAGCCCTTGGGAGGGATGGTGCGCCTTCAGAGCCTTCCTCCGACGACAGTCCCCACCCAAGTCCAATCCATAGGCTGGCAGCAGCCCTACCAAAAAGCCTCGTGCGCACACATCCCTGTACATACCTACGTGAATACATGGCTTCAACTCTGGAGTAGATGCACACCCAGTAAACTCAGGAAGGCCCGTGAACCCAGCCACGGACATCAGGTGCAAGAGTTTAACAGAGGCCCTTGCGACGTTCTCCCGCGGAGAATGGATGAGAAACAGCAGAGTCAGCGTGCAGGCAACACTGACAGCGCTCCCGAGAGCGACCTGTCCTCTTCCAGTTGTCTGAGCTCCCAGACTGCCACGGGACTCTGCCACCTCAGTGCGTGGCTGTGGGACCCAGGCAAGGCCAGGTGGTGGGCCCCAGCTGGCTGTTCCTGTCCGTGAAGTGGGGATGACACGCAACAGCACAGAAACAACAGCTCCACACGGCGCCTGTGAGCCAGGTACATGCTTTTCCTTGAGGAGGATGTATCTGAAGGCAGGCTGCACTTGAGAAAAGAGGACAGGCAGCCAGTGCAGGCGCTTCTATTAGAATGAGGTCCTGGGCGCACTCCTCCCAGAGCATCCGCAGGGCAGTGCCCCCAAGGAAAGGCCAACCTGCAAGCCTTTCCCCCAGCACCTCCGAACTCGAGTCCGGTGTGCGGTGTATGAGCCTGCAGGCACGGCCACAGCTCTGCTAGGGCGGCTCACAGGAAATCGCTGCAGCACAAGCCTCCTGGCCTCTAACTGCCTTCAGGTATGTGCTTCACTGTGAGCGAGCCACAGCTGCCAAGAGGGCTGCCCGCTGCTCTGGGCCTGAAACTCAAAACAAGAATCACCTGGTGCAGGGCTGCGGCTGTACTTTAAAATTACACACTTCAAAAGCAGATGTTTCTTATTACAAAATTAACTATTCTGAAACCTTAAGTCGGTTCATTAGAAGCAACTTGCTGTAACCACTGGTTCGGTTTACAAAGTTTAAAGAAGTCTCCCTAAACACAGTCAGGGGATAACAAGATTTATAACTTCTGGGTGCTCTGCCAACCGATCAACAAGGATCTATGAAAGCTCTGGTCGAGGGCCTTACAAACCCAACCCACTCTGAGTGAGACCTTCAGCCCCCTCCGCAGCCCCGCTGCCATCACTAACTACAGTCTTCTTAGGGCAGAGGGCCTAGGAAAAGACAGACTTCTCAGGGTGGGAACTCAGAACTGCTGTCCAAATGCCCGTGGCACTCCCTTCCACTCCCCATCCCACTCCCAGAGCCTCAGGACTGATCTCAGAAAGTGAGTCTGGAGTGAATTACTAAAAAATAGTTTCTTTTTCCTTTGTTAGAAAAGAACTCCCTGAGTTCTAACTGCCCACCCTTGAGCTGGACCTCTGCCCCCAGGGCTAAGAGGGAATGGGGTGCTGGGGTTTAAACCACCACGCTGGGACATTGCCGCCACAGCCCCAGGACACTAACACACAGTCCAACAGTTTAAACCAGCTTAAATGCAAGCACGCGCACCTGCACACCCAGGACATCTAGCAAGACCAGAAGGTAGCATCTGACACGCATTCCGCAAATACCGAGTGACGGAGGGACCCAGTAAAGCTCTCTGCGGGCACTGTGCATCCTGTCCTACTGGTGGGGAGAGAAACAGCCAGGATCCCTGAGTTTTTCATGGTGAATCAAGCAACTTCATGCGCTTCATTTACAAGTAACATTAAAGCATTTCATGGCTTCCATTATTTTAATGGGATGTATCAAACATAGAGCAATGTTCCATCCTCTAAAACCGGGCTCTTGATTTCAACCCCTTTGACTTACTAGCCATGAGCTCAACGTTAATGGACTTATTGGATCCTGTAACCTTTGCATTTCTCATCACAGGTGGAATGAGGGAAGGAAACATTGTGGGTAGGTCAGCAAAAGAGCCTGGCCATTACTGGAGAAAATCAAAGTTTAAGTGCCTCATACTCGAAGACATAGGAAACCTTGTAACACCCACCTCTCTCTCCTATGTGAGAGAGGACATGTGGCTGGCAGTCCCAACATGTCTCTTTTCTAAAGTGTTCACGTGAAGTGCACAATCCCCTCTTGTCCCTGCCTAGCCTTCCACCTTAAAGCAAAACCACTGCATAATGAACCGAACACAGAGCTTTCACAGCCCAATGAGCTGAACCGAAACATGTCCTCAGCCCCAAACCCTTACCAGCTTTCATGCCAGAAACACAGCAGGACACGTGTCCTCAATAAGAGGCAGATGAGAAATCTGAGCAACCCCAAAGCTTTCTTACTTCTGTGCCATCCCGTCTAACGGCCCATTTTAAGTTCACTGTGAATTCGCAGATGTTAAGTTGCAGGCCGCTTATACCCTGTTCTCCGGCTGTCCGTGTGTCCACGTGGCAAACTGGGTAAAGTTAAGATCCTTTCGATCCCATATACATATTCAGTTGTTTCCAAATGTTCCTTTTTAAGGAAAAACAACCTCAGACTAACATTCCCACACTTGAGTGGAAGCTGCTGAGCATACACTCTATGGCATGGACTGTTTCTGATGTGTGCGTGCAAACATGGGAAAGCTTAAATAACTCGGCGTAGGTAATGAGAAAAGCTCGTGAAACTTCTGAAACTCAGGGGCAGCAAATGGCTAACACTTCACTCCAAAAGCCTACCCTTGTGCCACAAAGAATCAGTAGGTCTGCCACTTGCTATCTTCACGTGAACCCTTCACTGTGGTCACCTTAGCCAAAAACAAACCCGGCGGGGCCTAGTGGGGCAGCCGCAGCGGCAGCACCAGGAATTCCCAATGTCTGAAGTCTGAGCACATGTCAGGTTGTTTCAGTTTGGCTTCTGCAAGCTGAACATGGTATGCATTTCTTTGTTTTAGAGATGAAAGGAATGCTACAGTTTTCCAAGGAAATCTTTCTAGAATTTCAGGGAAAAAGAGTGAAGTCCACGATCAATATTAGCACAGTTCATATGCCAAATAGCATGCGTGTTTTTACCCGGACGGCATATGAAGTTTCTAAAAACTTTACTCTTAGAAATGGAATGGTATTTTACATAAGCCTATTCTGGTAAACTTAGCATGTGTTTTCAATGCTTTTCAACATCTGTCTTTTATTACCAGAGGCCCTGTTACCCAGATGAGAAAAAAGTATTTTGAGTGCCTTGAAAGTTAGATCCCGCTTTTTCCTGTCTTAAATCATAATTTTATCGTGATATCAGGTTCATTCACAAGCTACATTTTTATTTCCTTGATAGGCAAGCGCTATTCACTCTAAAATACAGATGGTTTTCAAAAATACGTTCCAAGTAACAAAAACTCCTAAAACTGGTATGCATGCGAAATTCGTATTAAATACAGTATTTTCTGACCATTAAAACAGAGCGCCAAAACATATACAAACTTATGAGTAAGACTAAAGATTTTACTTTCTCAGGTCACTTAATTAACATTTTGTTTAGCAGATTGTCACTGTGCGTTGGGGCCAATACATCCCCATTTTAAAAAGTAAAGTCTTTCCTAATTATGGTGCACTTCAAGTTCTACATTTAACATCTTTTAAGTAATTGTTGATCATAAGATTGCGTACTGGCCAAAAATAACTGAGATAAGGTTGTAGTGTTTTTGAAATATTGGGATGTGTCTGTTTTAAGCGCGCTTCTATCCCCACGCCCCTGCTGTGTCAGCTGGCGAGAAACAAGGCAAACTTTAATCACTCACAGAAATGCGGGTCAAGGTTCGCACCCCAGCCCCGGGAAGAGCCGCAGTCACGAAGCAGGGTGTGCAGGACTAGAGTCTGTTCAAGATCAGGTATGAACCTAAAATGAAATCTGCAATTTTACACCAGCCTTCAGGAATGCCAGGGCTTTGCAGCCCTGTTCGCCACCCTCTGAGCTTGGAGACGTGAGGAATTCTTTCGTGGGGAGGACAGCAAATCCTTTCGCATCCCGGACCTCGGCCATTGCTGAATGCATCTTTTAAACACGCACAGCCATTGGTCCATTACGCAGAGGGTGAAACTCTCATACAACCCCACCGACAAAACTGTCCAAACAAAGCCTCGGGGCAGCCGTGCGCGGCGCCGGAGCGCGGCGTTCCGCCTGGTCACGGAGGGGGGCGGCTCCACCTCAGGGCGCAGTGGCGCCGAGCCGGGCGTTCCCCTTCGCCCCGGCCACCCCGCTCGCTCCCCTCGAACGCGCCCCAGGCCCCCTCCCCAGCCCGCGCCGCGCACAATGGCGCCCCGAGCTCCCGCCGCCGGTCCCCGCGCCTCCAACGCGCCCCCCGTTCCCGGGTCCGCGCACAAAGGAGGCGCGTGGGCTCCTCCGCGCCTCGCGCTCCCCGGCCCGCGCGGCCACCAGTGCCGGCGCCAGCGACCCCGCGCATCCCAGGCCGCGGCTGGCGCAAGACGGGGCGCAGGCCTCCAGGACGGGCGCCCAGCTCCCCAGGCGCGTCCGCCGAGGGGCCGCGGGCCGGGGCCGCACTTACTTTCTCGATGGTCCCGGGCAGCAGGCGCTCCAGCAGCCTGCAGAGGACCACCCCATCCTTCAGGGACGCCTGCAGGAAGCCCTCCGGGTCCGAGATGGTTTTCTTGGGCGACTCCAGCACCCCCAAGGTAATGAGCCACGTAACGGTCTGCTCGGCCGAATTCATAGCGGCGGCGCGCCCGGCCTCCCCGCGCCGCGAGCCCGTCTCGGCGCCGTTCACCTCGGAGCGGCCGCGGCCCGGCCGGCTGCGCCCCGCGCCCCCTCCCCCCGCTCGCCCATGGAGGGGCCGGCGACGGCGATTGGCTCGGGCGGCGCCGCGGTCCAGCCGGCTCGCGCTCCCTCGCGTGCGTCCTGGCCGGCTGTCAAGTGCCTTTTCATTAGCTGCACATGAACCTGCGGCGGCCGCCCGGCGCCGCCCCCGCCGCCGCCTCCCGGCTCCCCGCCGCCGCCGATGACATCACTGCGCGGAGAAGAAAAGACGCGGCGCGGAGCGGCCCCGCGCCCGGGCCCGCCGCCGTGCGCCCCCGCCGCCGTGCCCCCGTGCGCCCGCCCCCGCCGCTGCGCGCCCATCCCCGCCGTGCGCCCCGCGCCCGAGCCGCTGTGCGCGCGCGTCCCCACCTGCGCCGCCGGCGGGGGCTCCCCAAGGGCGCCGGTGACCTCCCGGAGGCGACGGCCCGCGGCCGGGCACCCGCAGGCCGCGCGCTCCGAACCGATTGCGCCCCGCGGGC